TAATAAAGTGGCAGACACGAATAGCAATAATAATTTTATATGGTCTGTATTTACCTGAGCTTTTCAAAAGAGGAAAGCTGTCATAAATCATTGCAACTAGATTTTCACTGTTGGTTGTAGAATGTGGCTTTGTTTCACTATGGTTAAGGGCACAAAAATGCTTTCCATTTGGAAAGTAGATCTGAAAGTACCATGAGGTATCTTCCACAACCCGTTGAAAAACAAATTCTTGGGGCACCAGCCTGGCTCAATCGGTTGAGCGTCTGACTTTGGCTCAGGTCATGATTTTGCGGTTCATGGGTTCGCACCCCACATCGTGCTCTCTCCTGTCTGGCGCAGGGCCCGCTTCAGATCCACTGTCTCCCTCTCTCTCTGCCCCTCCCCTGCTCATGCTCGCTCTCTCTCTCTCTCTCTCTCTCTCTCTCAAAAATAAATAAAACATTTTAAAAAAAGGAAAAACAAATTCTTAACTGCTTCCTCATTTGAAGTTGATGAAGAAACTCTCCTCTATTAGGTTTCCTCTGGGGGATGCAAGGGAACCCAGTTGAAAGCTCACTAGATTATGTTTACCTACCCAGTGTCCTTAAGAACAGTGCTTTCCAGTTTTTCGGGTATGGAGTTTGGTGAGTTCTTTATAGATTTTGGATACTAGCCCTTTATCTGATACATCATTTGCAAGTATCTTTTCCCATTCCATCAGTTGCCTTTTAGTTTTGTTGATTGTTTCCTTTGCAGTGCAGAAGCTTTTTATCTTGATGAGGTCCCAGTAGTTCATTTTTGCTTTTAATTCCCTTGCCTTTGGAGATGTGTCAAGTAAGAAATTGCTGCTGCTGAGGTCAGAGAGGTTTTTTCCTGCTCTCTCCTCTAGGGTTCTGGTGGTTTCCTGTCTCACATTCAGGCCCTTTATCCATTTTGGGTTTTGGGTGTCAAAACTATATGTAAGTTTTGTTTTTTCTTTGTTTTCTGATTCCAGAGCCTTCTGAACAACACACCTGATTAGAAGCACTGATTTGCTCCTAATAGCTTGTATGTGTGCCAAGCTGTTTCATTTCAGTTCACAGGTCAGGTAGGGAGGCATTGAAGTGGTCAAAGCTCCTGGGAGTGGTTGCTTCTGACGAAAAAGTTCTGTCCACTTACCTGGGTACACTATGCAAACATACTCGTTGTCTATGTGTGTCACAATGGGAATATGGTTGGGAAGCACTGCCCTACGTGACACTTAGATGTTATACAAATAACAACAGCAGTGGGAGAAAGCTACTTATTTACAGTGTGTATGGATTGGAAATTAACTCACACGTATAGCATCCTTTTATTTTTAGTAAATTCACTGAGTGGTCAATAGGGCACTTATGTTTATTATCAAGGTTCAAAGACGGATGATATGCCGACTAAGACACACTGCTAGGAAATGACAGAGCCAGGACTTCTGAATCAAGGATTTCTACAGCTTAGCTCTACGCTTTATCTGATACACCCCATTGTATGATGACATTCCAAGTTGACACAGATCTTTAAAATTAGAATTTTGACTTCATTCTCTGAAGAAAGTTCAAATGGTTTTCCTTTGTTTTCTCTTGTGACTGCTATGCAAACACTAGCGTATTTGGAAACTGATATTCTCTTTGAACTCAGCGAGACTCAGAAAGCACACTAACTGACATTTTCAGGCCATACCAATTTTCTTTTTACAGATTCTACTCCTGACACCCAGAGAGCCAGTCCTGGTTCTTTTGTGTGAGTAGAAAAGAGAGTTTTTGCCCACCACCCTCCCTAAAACATAGCTATCAAAAGGAAAATAGTATGCTGCCATTGACCATGCTTAAGTTTTGATTTGTTTTGCCAACTACAATTTCTCATGGTCCTTTCCATAAAAGGGGAGAAGAGGGAGAAATGAAAGAAATTGCCAACAGCAAATTACATATTCAACATATAAAACACATGAACTTCAAACAGGGCAGTTATTATCAAGAGATATTATTGAAAGATAATTTAAGTTTGCTACTCCTATTTTCGAAAGCTAGACAGCCAATAGAGTTCAATGACTAGAAATAACATCTTCATTTCTTCATAGCAATGCAGAAACAAAGAGGATACATGCACAAAAATAGGAAGGTATGATGAAACATCTATCAGCAGCTGTTAGAGTAAAAAGCACAGGCAAATATCTACATTATTAACCAAATATTAATTCAGCATTCATAAAATAACATGATGGAATGATTGAGCATGCATGGCATACAACGGTACGTGTAAGCAAGCGTGAGTTACAAGATATAATAAAGGCAATGGTTATGGAAGTGAGCCTGTGGCAGACTTAGAATCTCTTGTTTAAAGGCCTGGGCTCCAGATCTAGAACACTTGGGTCCAAATCCTGATCCTTTCACTTTTGGGTGATGATCACCTACTTGAGTTTTCAGTACAGAAAAAGTATTGTTTTCTTGATTCTCTCAACATTGAGATTAGTAAAATTACAATATAAAATGTGGAATTCTACTGATTAATTGCCTGCTTTCAATAATACTTTTAAACCAAATGTCACCAACCCCAAAACGTGCACAAGGCATAAAAGAAATTCCACCACCCAGTAACAAGTGAGCCAAGACTATAAACTGGAATAACATAAATGCAACACTGTCTGCAAGTTCATGGTAAACGCCAGGTCAACCTAGATCCACAACAGGCCAAGCGTGTAGAAGGCAATCTGGAAGGCAATTCTGTTCTTTCAATATATACTGGAATATCCCACCTTCTTCTACGAGATTGAGTCACTGCTACTCCAACACTGTCCTAGTGCTTTTTGTCCTGAGATATAAAGAGTCTCGTCAGTAGCTACCTGGTAACATAAACACTACACTTCTCAGGACATCTGACTAGCCAACATACTTAATAAGGGGCAGGTCTATGGCCAAGGAAAAGTCTATCATCATAAATAAAGCCTTTTGGTGTCCACAGAGGTTGATCAACACATATGTATTCCACTGGTAAGTTCACTTATGCCAAATTTAAATAGTGCATCTTATCCACTCTGTTTAAACTTTACATGCAAAGTTAATCTGGGTAGGAATATATACTTTGTATTGCAAAATAATGTCTCTAAATTGTTTAAATATACTGAAACTCTCACAACTTCTTATTTTGAAGCTTCATTTGCTAAACCTACTCATTTTCTTGATACAAACATGAATGTACAGAAGTGTTTTTAAATGTGAAGTCACATTTAAAAGCAAGAAAATGCAATATCCTAAGCAATCATAAATAGAGAAACTAATAAAGAGTGAAATGCTGGGTCAATAAACACCTTGAACAAATATTAAATGAATACTCTTACAGCATGATTTCAATTCCCAAAATAATATAGTAACATACTAACGTTACAGAAAAGCCATCCAAATAACCTCAGCTAAAACAAACCATCTTTGTTGTCTGTTTCTGAAATTATGCATTTTAAGAATAATTTCCAACTAAATTCTCCTAGCTTTGAAATTTACTCTGAATCAAACTACTATTCAAGGCACTATATAAACCATATTAAACTTTTCTAAGTCAATCTTCATTTATAGCCCAACAAACACACGTAATCACATATAGTGCTATAACTTAATGAAATGTGAGCGAATTCCACAAGTTTTCCTTAAGCACGTTTTTAAGTTGGCAGATACGTTCTATGCGAAGCAAGAAAATGTTTTATTTTTGTGGAAACTTCACTGGGTTTCCATCTTGTCAGGGTTTTGTTTGCCATAACCAAACACAGAAAAGGTCGGCAGGTATGCACACGTGCATAGAGCACCAAGGTCAACAACTACACAGGCTCTTGCTGAGCCATCTGGAAAATTCTGTCAGGGAGGCACAACAGGCAACAGGAGGAAAAGTTGGAAAATACATACTGTGCCTCCGCGGAGCCTTCCTGAATGGAGAGGTCTACACACACCTATACGCACACATTCATGAATGCATGGAAACTCGGTAGGTTTTTAAAGGATTGAAGTTTTGCATGTAAGCTTCAACAATTTCTCACTCTTTTTTTTTTTTTTTAATTTTTTTTTTCAACGTTTTTATTTATTTTTGGGACAGAGAGAGACAGAGCATGAACGGGGGAGGGGCAGAGAGAGAGGGAGACACAGAATCGGAAACAGGCTCCAGGCTCCGAGCCATCAGCCCAGAGCCTGATGCGGGGCTCGAACTCACAGACCACGAGATCGTGACCTGGCTGAAGTCGGACGCCCAACTGACTGCGCCACCCAGGCGCCCCAACAATTTCTCACTCTTAAACAGACCTGGGCTCAATCCATACCAATGGAAATAAACTTTGTACAAAAAAAACCCCACAAAAACAAAAAAAAAACAAAAAAAACCCATAAATGATATGGAGTTTGATAAGAAACACAGAAATGAATGTCTCCATGAGTTACATCATAGTAAAATGGTTACATTTTGTGATATTTAACTATATATTTCCCCAAATCAGCCACTAACAGTATGTTTTAGATATTATTTGAGATACTACCAATTAATTCAGATTCAAAACGAAAGATGAGAAGTCAAAAGTATGAAAGTACTCTTGAAAATTGCCATTTTCAATCCTATGACATTGGGTAGCATCTTAGGGCAGGTTTGTGCATCGGTGTGTGTTTTTTTAAAGCTTGAAATGACTATTTCAAAGAAAATATGTCAACAGAAACCTTTTTGAATAGGCTTCCCTGCATTTTATTTTTTCTTAAAGATATTATACCCCGTGAGAATTTTGCTATTTTAACAAGGCTCTAAAAATAGGAGCTGTGGCAGGCAACTAGAAGGCCATTTCACTACAACTGGTGGGGGGGGGGGGGACACTGCAATGAAAACCTAGTCCTAAAGGCTGGCTAGCGTTCATCAGGCCTCGTAAAATTCCAGACAGCTCCAAAGAACATGGTTACATCCTCTTCCTAAAATGCCTTTATTTTTAAACCCTTTTCTGTGTCAGTGATTTTTATGTCCTGTATTTTTTATTAAACACTCACCTGTGATTTTTTGCAGCAAAGGTGACAATTCAGACTCTTCACAGAAGACCTGAGCCAATGCTTTCTTCACTTTTTCTTCAGCTTCCCCCAGGTCTTTGTCCACTGTAAACTCTCCACCAACAGAGTAAATATATATCAGGAGGACCAACAATTCTTCAGGGCTGTAATCATTGTCGGTCCTTTGGTTCAAAGGCTTCATCATGGGCAGCAGCTGATTTAACACAACAGACATGGTTGACTCCCCAATGCTCTGGAATAAAAGGTGGTAATATGAAAATACATCATTCTTATACAAAGATGTAATTTATGCATCGCATCAGTCCAAAGATATCTTGCAAACAAGTTTGTGATGTTCACTGACTATGTTGCCTTTTATTTGTTTGCTTCTTGTCCTGGAGAGAAAGCTGCAAGAAATTTGGCATTAGATTGATTGTTTGGAATGATCTAGTTTATAACACTGCACTAGTCAAGTTGCAGAACCTTTTATATTATCTCACATATTGCTTAAACAAATAAGAATCCATTAGTTTTATAAGTGTAAGTACTTCAGATACTAGAATTTTAAATTAAAAAATGTATTTTTAAAGCAATGATTAAAAACAAAAACATGTCAGCATCTATATATGTAAACACATGCTGACATTCAGAGGAATTGCCTTAAATTTTACAGCATATTCTTTTTAATATTCTCTATGTTTGGCAAATAGTAGTCAAGAATAGATTTTTTAGGGGCGTCTGGGTGGCTCAGTTGGTTGGGCGTCTGACTTCGGCTCAGGTCATGATCTCATCATTCGTGAGTTCGAGCCCTACGTCGAGCCCTGTGCTGACAGCTCAGGCAGAGCCTGGAGCCTGCTTCGGATTCTGTGTCTCCCTCTCTCTCTAACCCTCCCCGACTCTCACTCTGTCTCTGTATCTGTCTCTCTCAAAAATAAATAGTAAACATTAAAAAAAATTTTTTTAGAGAATAGATTTTTTAATTCCAAAATCAAAGTTTGTTTTTATTTTCATGTAGTCTTTAAATTTTTAACATTTTGATTCCTAATAGTTAACATACAGTGTTATATTAGTTTCAGTGTACAATACAGTGATTCAACAATTCTATACATTACTCAGTGCTCATCATGATTAAAGTGTACTCTTAATCCCTTTTACCTATTTCACCCATCCCTCCACCCACCTCCCCTCTGGTAACCATCAGTTTGTTCTCTATAGTTAAGAGTCTGGTTTTTTGGTTTCTGTCTTTGTTTTATTTCTTAAGTTCCACACATAAGTGAAATCACATGGCATCTGTCTTTCTCCGACTGACTTATTTTGCTTAGCATTATAGTCTCTTGCTCTATCCATGTCAATGCAAATGTTAAGATTTCGTTCTTTTTTATGGCTGAGTAATATTCCACTGTATATATATACCACATTTTCTTTATCCATTCATCTATCAGTGGACACTTGGCTTGCTTCCATAATTTCGCTATTGTAAATAATGCTGCAATAAACATAGGGGTGCATATATTCTTCCAAATTAATGTTTTTTATTCTTTGGCTAAATACCTACTAGTGCAATTACTGGATCATAGGATTTTTTATAACAATGAAAAGTCATTTTCTGCTAAATCTGGTGAATAGAATAAGGGATCAAACCGGGCAATGTCACTTAAGGTTCAAGGTATCTTTGGGTGGATCTGAAGATAATTTATCTTAAAACTTAAAATTTTTTTCCTTTTAGCTCTTCCACTAATTTCATGAGTGATATTTAGCAGAGAATTTCAAAATTCCTTGCATATGATAACAGTACTGCATTTCTGGAGTCACCTAATAACTTCCAAGTAACTATACCATGTCTCATACAAATTCTCAGATTTTTCATAAACAGATAAATCCCCATTTTAAATAATATGTTTTATTTAACCTATGATATAAAATAATCCTATAAAATAAACTCAACTACTTGTACTTATATTAAAATCAGGGAGCAAATGACTACAACTTGCAACTTTCATGCCATTCATTCAAAAGGGTTCATTAAGCACTTACTATATTCCAGGTACTATTCTGGGTCTAGGGATGCAGCGGTGAAGAAAACAAATTCCCTGCTCTCACACAGCTTACATTCTAGTTGGGTGAAACAGACAATTAAAAATCTAAAGAAGTAAAATATATAGTATACTAGATGGTGGGCACAGCTATGGAGAAGAGTAAAGCAGAAGAGAAGAAAGATGGGACTTTAGGGTGTGTGTGTGCGTGTGTGTGTTTAAGTGTGTGAAAATGCAATATTTTAAAAGGAAAAGCCAGGTTATGAAGGGAGTGTCGGAATAAAAAAATGGCCTATAGAAATGTTCTCTCTTTGAATGAAGTTGATGGCGAGCAGCTGGATGTGATTCTATATTGGGATGATTACTCCAAAATGAACTTTTCTAGTCAAGTCATTTCCACACCTGGAAAAATTTGGATATATCATCTCAAGGTTAAGGTTCACAATTATATTATTTGGTACACGAAAAACAGCTGTTACCATTTATTTCCACTAAAAAACTTGGATGTTCACAATGCACCAAACAAAAACAAAATGATAAGTCTTTGGAATGAATAGGTTCAAATGGAAAAGAACAGGAAGATTTTACTGCTACATGGTGACAAGACATGATTTACCAAGTATAAACACACCCACTTCTCAAAGGAAATGGCTGAAACATTTGAAGGCATCCTAGGACCGTCCTATTGCCTCAGGAGTCTCTGGAGACAAACATTCAAGTGTTCTTTGCTTTACAAGCTGCCCAGAGCAATTTATAATAAAGGAGCTGTGTGGTTGGCCTGTTAGAAGTGGGGCCATGGGGGCTACAGCTTTCATTTTTCCTTTTTACCCTATCACCAACATCTTGGATAACATTAAGCAGATTCCTTCATTGCTTTATATCCCATTTCTAAAAAACAGGTATACGCATCAAGTGTCTAGCCTACGGGAGCCCTTTTAAGTCTTTTCCCAGAGCAAAAGGATTTTTTAAAAGATAGTTATAAAAAGTAAAACAACATAGAGTAATCACCATAATCATTTGAAAAGATTTACCCACTAACATCTGGCCATAAGAGCATCATTTTCAAGTTGTTGATCTAAAATATATTGCCAGAGAACAAGCTCCCTCACTAATGACACTCTAGCAAACTTCTGTTAGCTAGGTAATACCTGTGCACCCTAATTTCTAAAATTACATTCTAATCTGCTTCAAGCATTCCCAAAAGCTAATTATTGAGTTGAATACAAAGCCAAGAATATTTGCTAATCAGTCTTAAAGAGGCATGTGATGTGGTGGAAATAGAGACTCCATTTCAAACACCCAGATCCAAACCTGACTGTACCACTAACTAGCTCCTTAACCTCGTAGGGTCCCAGTGAACTTGTATCTCTTCATCTCTGAAATGACATGATGTGACTAGAGATGGCTCAGTTCTTAAGCCATATTTATGCCAAGGTCTCCAGTTTCACCTTTTTCTCCTTTTTAAAAAAAAAAAACAAAACATTATCATTGGTGATAGTAGGTAATGAATCATATTTCCTTATTGGCTACCCAGAAAAATACCAATGCTCAAAAAAGAAAAGCTTTCCTGCAGAAACAAATGTAGATAGAGAAATATCATAGATATGTGTATGACATGGGCTGATATACATACATCTCTTTCCTAATTCTGCCACTGTGAGAATCTAGAAGTAATGACACCCTGGTAGCAGTGAGCACAGCCAGGGGTCAGATCTTGGTTTCTAACATCTTTCTCAAATAAAAGGAATCAGGAGTCCTCAGAGAAATGGCTGATTCTAGGGATAAGGTAGGGAAAATATAAGAAGAACTTGGAATATCTTGTTGTGCCAGAAAGTAAGGAAGTCCATAAAAAACAAAAGGATGGGGCATGTCAAAAGGACACAAGAGACAACTGGAAGGCCTCCCCGTGGCCAAAGCGGAAACACTTTGAGCAAGAAAATAAAGTAGTAATGGATTATAACTCAAAGTCCAAAATAAATGTGCTTTGTGCCATACTGATATAAATAAGTGATGGCATAAATACATACATACATGCATGCGTGCATGCATACATACAGAACAGATAGATGTTTTTTACAGAATTCCAAATAACTTATGTAGATACTGCCCCCTCCAGAAGGTAGAGCTTAATCCCTCCTCTTCTTAAGTGTGGGCTGTACATAGTGGCTTGCTTCTAAAAAATTGTGTATGGAAAGAAGAGGGAGGAGAAGTTTACCCTAGAAGATCAAGGTTAACATCACCAGTGATAAACTCAAATGATATTATGTGCCCCTAATATGATATGATGAGAATGGCACTTCACTTTTGTGGTATTCTTCTCCCAAACACATAACCCCACAATACAAACATCACATAAATACCAACTGAGGAACATTCTACAAAATGTTCCTGGAACAGAAAAAGAATGTTAGGGGGACAAAAAACCACTAGGTGAAGTGAGAATAAAATCTGGAGTTTACAGTTAATAATAATAATGTACCAATATTGGCTTCTTTGTTTTGCTAAGTACTGTAAGATCTTAACAATATAGTGAGGACATACAGAACTCTCTACTATCTTGGCAACTTTTCTATAAATCTAAAAATATTCTAAAGTGAAACACTTATTGGCAAGGGGAGGGCCAGAGGAGGAGAGGGGAGGAGAAGGGAGTTCGAGGGAAGGGAGACAAATCCAGGTACTTTTGGATCTCCTTCAGTCAGACCGAAAATTCCAGGAAAGACAATTTCAGCTGATAAGAATTCCTCACAAACAGAGCCATCAGCCAAGATAAGGGACTGGCTCAGGAAGCAATGAACTTTCCATCAATGGCAAAGGGAGGCAGGGGGATTGTCTGGCAAGGATGAACCAGAGGGAATCCTATGCACATTGGCTCAGAACTAGACCCTCCTAGTACTCCCCATAAAAGCATGGCTCCAGACTGGATATATATCCATTTTCTGATATTCTCTGCTTTTAGAATGAAACCTCATCAAGAAGAAGGAAAAGATCAGTGAGACCCTGGATTGAAACCTTTCTAAAGGTGAAAGAAAGAATCTGAGTAGGATTAATAATGAGAGTATGGGAATAAAAATAGATGCCTGCACTTACCAGCTGGGTGACCTGGGGCAACTTAATGTAACTTCTCCAAGTCCCAGGTTCCTCACCTGCAAAATGGGCAAAATACCACAAATGCCCAAACAGTAAACTACTTCGTGATTTAAAATAGAGTAATCCCCACAAT